GTCCTACCGTGCAGTGAGTAATGTCCTTCCTCTTGTGGCAAAGGCTTTTCAGCCCCCTCCTGGTATGAACCTCAGGTGCCCCCCTGCAATAGTTGCTGCGCGTGCTGCTCTAGCAAAGACTGCCTTCGCAAAGAACTTACGGCCACAACCTCTACCTGCAAAAGTCTTAGTGATTGGTGTTATGGGCATGGCTGCAAATATTCCTTTAGGCATATGGAGAGAACACACAGAAAAATTTTCGCCATCATGGTTTGCAGCTGTACATGCAGCTGTACCATTCATTGGAATGCTCAGGAAGTCTGTGTTGATGCCTAAAGCGGCCATGGCATTTACCATAGCAGCATCTATCTTGGGACAAGTCATAGGCTCTAGGGCTGAACGATATAGGCTGAAAGCCGTTGCAAGTAAAAAATTGATACTTACTGAAAACTCAACTCCTGCGAACGGTCAACTCGTGGTTAGTGGAGTTAGAGGTGGACACTGCGGTGAGATTGTTGATTGGAGCAAAGGTCCTCTGCAGATTGCTGGCCCCGCTTCAACAACCAGTGTATTTAGCTGATGCTTGGAATCGTTGATGTTGTAATGATATGTTTCATGAGGTCGCATTTGATCTATCTTTTCTTTATGTTTCTTTTTATCAGCATACAACATTCAGCAATTGAAAAATAAAGGAGGGGTTGAGCATTGTTTCTCGTTTATTGACACAGTTGATATATTTATAAAATTTGAGTGTGTTTTCTGTAGCAGAATACGTGAAAGTGATTTTCTATCTGAGCTTTAGTCTGAATGTCAAAGTTTCTGTGTTTAGCAATTGTCAACCCACACGTTGAAGATTCGTTAATGCAAGGGAAAATACGAGACAATTTTTTATGGATGTACTAAAAGTGTAATTGATAGCATAACTGAGCAGTTTTGCAACCTACAACATGTGCCGTAGTTTGAAATTTTGATTTTTAGTCATTCAGTTTATTTATTTATTTATTTTAAATTTATTTTTCATATATTATTTTTTACTGCTTGGCGCTACTGCTTTTTTTTTTAATCCTTCTTTGAGCCGAGAGTCTATTAAAAACGACTTTTCTACTTTTTTAAAGTTGGGGTAAGGTTTGTGTACACACTACCTTCTTTAGACCCAAATTAGTGTATGTGAGGCACATAGTAAAAATTTCCCCACTTGTGGAATTATATATATATATTTTTTTGTTTTGTTATTGTGCCCTTGTATTATTTTCTGCTAAAGGAAAACTTAAATTTTGATTCTATGTTTCTTTTTTTTGCTTCTTTTGCATCCTTCCCCACGGTCACACCTCCCTGGCTCAACTTTAGGATGGCAAGCGGTGAGGTACATTGCGGTCGCGGAGCAAACCCGCGAAGGCTTATCATGTCCCACCCCGCATTCCTGTCTAATTGGGTAAATTCGTGTAAATCCGCAAAGACTTATTAATACCCTACACTGTATATCTGTTTTTAACTCAGTTCTATTCTATCCTATTGCCATCCTTATGATCAACTTGGTCTTAATGGTGGAATGATAAGTGTAACACAAAAGCTGATTGCACTTTATTTCAATGCTATTTATTCGGCAAAGTAGTCTCAACTTAGGAAATTTTCTCATTTTCCTTATTCGTTTGGTCTGCCAAAAGTTAATTGGAGATGTAAGATCATTTTTCAATTTGGTTCACCAAATTCTACCCCCTTTCGATAAACACAAGAACCCAAGGGAGTTTGATCATCTCTCCATGTGGTCGTTTAGTTGGAGTGATTGAAGAAATAATCCCATCATGAAATTTTGCATAACATAATATAGTATTTAATTAGAAGGATTATGAAGAATGATTTCCCTTATGGGGCGTTTGGTTAATCATATAAGAGAAAAAATAATTCATGTATAATTTCATGCAGTGTTTGGTTGACAATAATGTGTTAATAAGAATGTATATTAGTAATGAGTTAATAAAAATATTTAAATACAAAACATACTTAAAATCGGTAAAACTATATAACATTCCTCTTATATTATACTTTACCGCATAGCAATTCATGCATTATAACAATCATCTTATTATATATTATTCACTGCATAAATAATTCATACATTATAAACTAGCATGTGAACCAATGTTCATATGGTTATTTTTTGTTCTTAGATATCTGTTTACCCGAAAAATCGGGAAACGTTGAATTTAGGTGTGATTCTAAGGATACGTAAATTCCTTATAATACAAAAATGACAATACAAGTGTTTTGCTATGAAATGGGAATAATCAATAGGAAGGCTCAATGAGCAACCTGAACTCTTAATGTATCTTGGGGAAGATGAGTCTATTGCAGTCTATGTCCCTTTTTATAATAGAGGGTCACTACTTTATCTATAACAACATAATAAAATAATGCATATAGTGGAGGACCCATGATGGTTTGTCTCTTCCTTGATTCCTGCCAAGATTCTCTCCCTCGGTGCGGTTATAATAGCTTTTGTCGGCGAACTCGGTATTGACTCGAGCTTGGTGTTAGGTCGAACCCCCGGTCTTGGTTCGAGCCCGTAGTTCGATTCGGATACGGGCTCGATAATGATACCGAGTTTTGCCGTCGATCGGTCTTATAGCTCGAAACTCGACGCCCTTACTCCAGAATTCGTCCGAGCTTGTTATGTGGATACCCTTCGATCGAGACGTCATCGTCTCGGCTAGTCTTTATGACCGAGAATCGGTTTTGACCGTACACAGATAGTCCCCTCGTTTCTCGGAAAGAATGCGGCGAGAAACAATATGATTTCTCTACCGACTCGATCAAATTTATGTCGACGTTTCTATCGACCTCGATTATGACGTATGTGATAACTGTCCCATCGGTTCGGTTTTACCGAGGCTTTTAATGCATGTCAGATGATGGTCGGCCACCGCTAATATCGAATCATCATGCGTTAGCCTATAAATAGTCTTTCCATACAACTTATACCACTTTTGCGCCTTCTCTTCTTCCAAATTCTCTTATTTATCCTCTCTATTTCGCTGCTTCAGGGCCGCTCATACCAGGGTTTTTGGCGCTGTCCATCCTTTCACCTTCCTTCGCATTCTTTCCTCTCATATCAATGGCGAAAACTTCCAAAATCATACCTCATAAGGAGAAAGCTTCTTCCTCACGGCCGTTTGATTACAAGGCACCGGCGGAGCCGTCCGTTCATGACTATGTTCCTGGCCCATGTATTTTGAAGACCAATTTTAGGGTGGAGAATCCTTCGTCCGTTCCGGGTCGATGTGAGCACGTATCGATGTATATGTACTCTATAACGGAGGATCATCTCAAGGCCGTCAGAAAAGACTGCAACTGGGGTTCCGAGGTTGTGTTGCAAATTCCATCCTCCGATGAGAGCGTCACTATTTATGTGGAGGGGTTTTTAAGTGTTTATACTTATCCCTTCATATTGGGACCCGTCGACCCGGTGATTATTGATTTCTGCAAAAGATATCAGGTCACTCTTGGCCAAATTCATCCTTCTTTATGGCGTATAGTGATTTTGTTGCGCTTCTCTATCAAAGCCGGGGGGTTGGATTTTTCTCTGAACCACCTCATACGATTGTACCGGCCTCAGATTTTTCGAGGACTAATTAGACTTCATCATCGAGCATCGAAGGCTTTGATGCCGAGCATCGATGAAGACAAGGATCGAGGTTGGATGGGTCGATATATTCGAGTGAGGACCCGTGATATTATTCCGGAGGAGAAGATGTCGTTCCCTGAAGAATGGAATTCTGATCGTAAGTGATTCTTGTTTACCCTTCATGTCTATTTTCAGATTTTTTCTGATGTCCTTTTCTGATGTTCAGCTGCCCCTTGGATGCCACAAGCAGTGCCTGACCTCGAGGACTGGGTTCGAAAGTTAGCCTCGAGCTCCTCTTATGTCGAACGCGCTTAGTGTGATTTGGCAAAAGGCAGATGGGAGGCCAAGAATCATGGTGAGGTTTGCTTCCTGTTTTCTTCGAAGTGTTCTTCGCGTTCTTTTTGTTACCGATTTTCTTTTGTGCAGGTGTAACCAGGGATGCCGCTCTAAGGCCTTCGAGCGGTGAAGAAGAAAACAAGTCCTTGGTTCTTAAACAGGGGAAAGATAAGAAGCGAAGAGCTTCCTCTCGGTTAGAGGACCCGAAGCCCAAAACTCGAAAGGTGAGGAGAAAAGCAATCGCCCTTTCGATGGACTCAGTCCAACGACTGAGAGAAGAAGGAGAAAAAGATAGCTCTTCGGCTTTGGTAATTCGATCTACGGAGGCCATCGAGGTTGCTAGAGCTCCCTAGCCGATGGCGGCTATGCCTGTCGGGGTTGGTTCCGAAGACCTGAGTCTCGACCGGAGTACTCCGAGTGATTTGCTCGGGGCTATGACAATGGGTCATTCGCCTTCTCTTCCATCTTTTTCTGAGGAGGCATTGAAGGAAGCTCGAGAGTTGAAGACTCCTGATATCGGCGTTGGCTCTGGTGCAGGGGATCCTTTTAGGGATTATTTTACTGGGGTCGACGATGGTTCCGATATCGGTGATGCTTCTCTTTTATTAGAGGAGGCTCAGCATTTCATTACTCGGGTAATGATTCTTCCACACTTGGTTTCTTTGTTCTTTTCCATACTTGACTCCTATTTCTTACTGTGCAGACCATTAATAGGTTTCGAATTGATCTCAGCCAGTGTGAGGCCGAGCTTCGGAAGGTCTCAGGGGAGAGAGATGCCCTGCGGTTTCTTTGCATCCAAAAGGATGAGGCTATAAAGGATCTCCAAGCGGATTTGGCTAAGGTCCGTGAAGAAGGGGTCGAGCTCGATAAGCAGGTGAGCCTCCTTCTGTAAAAGTATGGGTCTGCCTCAACTGTGGAAGTTAATCCTTCGTTGTCTCAGTTGTAGCAAAAGATCGAAAAGATCGGGTCGCTTCGAGAAGAAGTCGATCAAATCCGCGTTGAATGCAATCGCTAGAAGGAGACCATCGACCGCCTTGCAGCGGAAAAAGAAACCATCTCAACAAAATTATTATCGGCCGACGTTCAACTTCGGAGTGTCAAGCAAAAGGGGTTGGTTCAAGCTAAGAAAATCAATGAGCTTGAAACATGACTTGTTGAGGCTAAGGCGGAGGTTGAGTCGTCGAAAGTCTTGGCGGATAAGTCCATTGCCATATATCGGGCTGATGCCGAGGCTGCTCAGATGGAGGCCCGGGAAGCGGCAAAGACCGTCGAGCTCAAGCTCATTGGGTTGCCAAACTTGCCAAGTGTAGGTCTCGAAGGGAGACCCTCGAGGAGATACACGCTCGAGGTTTCGACCTTACCGATGAGATAAAAACGGCAANATCAGATTTTGTAGCCCCTAGGTTTGCTTATTGAGTCGATGATTCAAACTCTGAAGGAATATACTCCGCAGGTGTAGTGTAACGGTTGAGTTAATGTAAACTCAGAATAAAAGTAACTTATTAGCCGTCGAGTGAATGTTTTCAAACTTGAAATAAAGGTAGGCCGCAGGCTTAATTGTCGAGTGAGTGTTTCGAACTTCGAGATAAAGGTAGCCCGTAGGCTTTATAGTCGAGCGAATGTTTCAAACTCAAGATAAAGGTAACCCGTAGGCTTAATGGCCGAGTGAATATATCGAACTCGAGATAATGTAGCCTGTAGGCTTAATAGTCGAGTGAGTATTTCGAACTCGAGATAAAGGTAGCGCGTAGGCTTTATAGTCGAGCGAGTGTTTCGAACTCGAGATAAAAGTAGCCCGTAGGCTTAATG